CAGAAAATACCTTGCAATGATTTGAAAAACCTTCAGTGTGACCTTAGAGTGTTACCTGATTCAAGCACCAATTAGTTTTATAAATTTGTTATTTTATACTACATTTTAAAATATGAATTATGTATATATACACATATAAAATTTATATACAAATATAATATATATATTTAAATATGAAATATGTATATATAATCCTTTTAGAAAAAAATTATGTTGAGTAGCCTTAAGATGTTTAAGAAATTGAAGGGGCAGTTAACTATAATAGACTTATTTAAATAAACGCAATTTTTAATTTGGTATTATTTTTTAAAATACAAAATTACAAATAAACTGAAATTGATGGTAGTAAAATTGAAAATTTAACCTAAAACTCAAACCTCTTGCCAGTGTCCCTTGAAAAGGGACAATTACAGTGGTGTTTGTTGCAAGATTTTGCTTTGCTTTTTTTTTTTTTTTTTTAGCTCTAAAAGCTAGAAAACAATCTAAATATCAATGATAGTTTTCAAAGAAAAGAGTATCATGTAGGGATTTAAAAGAATGAAGTAGATCTTTATATATTAATGTGGCTAGATATGCAAAACAGAAGTTTGGTGAAGAGAAGATGAAGATTAATCCAAACAGATTAATGCAATTTGTAACAAAAATTAAAACACTTTATGCAATCTTATACATTGCTTATGAAAGGCCTATCTAGTCATCCACATATAAGTTGTAGATTGAAGAGATATGCATATAATTTTTTCATAGTATTTTCCATATGCAAGTCAACTTTTTAAAACATTTCTACCAAATAAAGTTGAGTTTGGGTTTGGATTTGGGTTCTGTTATGGAGTAAAAAGCATTTTGTTGAAATTCATACACGAAATAATTGAAATCTAAAAATAATACCAGGTCACAATGAGTAAATTACCGAAAGGAGAAAAATGACTTTAGGGGTAACTCATCTTCAGGAAAGTCTGTAGTCAGATTGCTCACTGTGCACCTTTTCACACTTTGGATGCACTTCATAATCCAAAACAAGATGTCACCAGAAATGCTAATATTTGCCTTGGGCAATATGCTTGAGCAAGAGAAAATCTGATCCCCATGCTGAACTTGTGAAACACTGGAAACACAGATATTTTGTATTATAACAAATAAACTAGACACACTATAAAAATTCCAATATTTTTGAAATGGTCCTTCAGGACAGAATCTCATCTTTTATGTTCCTGAGACAAGAAGCTTGGCTCTCATGAAGCATAAGCAATCTGCCTCTCAAACCGTGAGAGGATAGAGCTTATTTAAGATCTGCCAACAGCATATTGCTTGGACTATATTAGTTTTTGCCCTTCAGGGATGAGTGTTTCAACTCAAAGTAATATTTATTCCAAATACTACACTAAATATCTTTGCAGCCTTCAAATTGATTTTGAGAGGAATTCCTGTCTTGAACCCATCAGAATAACTTTTAGGTTAAAGGGAGCCTTGAGAATCAGGACAGACCAAGGTACTCCATGAAACAACATGACTTCAGAGGAAAACGGTTCAAATAACGAATTGACTGCAATAAGGACAGTGAAAGAATTGTCTAAGACTCACAAGAGAAAACTGAGCCTGTGGTAATGAAACTACTTTGTCTGCTGCTATAAAACTGTTCAGTACAATCTTCAGATCTCACTGCCCTTATTGCCCATAACAGGGTCAAAGAACGCCTGCTATAAAGAGTAAGTAATTTCTCAATTATGTTTTTATCAAACTTTGACACATATATGAAAGAACCCAAAGAAAATATGAACACAGATTTTTTCAGTAAAGACACTTTAAGCCTTTACAAAATCTATATGATTGAACTTTTTCAATTAAAATATACTAACTGCATGTTTGGGTCATGCTCTTAATTAGAACTCTGGCTACATAAATCTCAGCCAAGCTGCTTTTGTTTCCAAATTGAGCTTTGAATAAAAAGACGTATTGGACTTCATTAGAGTAATCTCTAGACAGGAACACTACTTCAACTCTTCTAATAAATAAGTTAGTAATAACAATAACATTAAAAAAATTATAATGAGTGTCCATCTTGCTATTTTGTAGGTGTACAACTTTGTAAGAAAACAACAAACGTAGGGCTGGACGTGGTGGCTCACGCCTGTAATCTCAGCACTTTGGGAGGCCGAGGCTGGCGAATCATGAGGTCAGGAGATCGAGACCATCCTGGCTAACACGGTGAAACCCCGTCTCTACTAAAAATACAAAAAATTAGCCGGGCATAGTGGCGGGCGCCTGTAGTCCCAGATACTCGGGAGGCTGAAGCAGGAGAATGGCTTGAACCCGGGAGGCGGAGCTTGCAGTGAGCCGAGATCATGCCACTGCACTTCAGCCTGGGCGACAGAGCGAGACTCCGTCTCAAAAACAAAAAACAAACAAACAAACAAAAAACAAAGAAAAGAACAAACGTATTAATTTTAAAATAAATTTCGATCTTTTTTCCAAAAGGATAGTTTTATTAATGGCTTAATATATGTAAAGTGCTTTCCATACAAAAGGCAGTAAGTTTCAAAATGTCATTGTTGAGAAAGAAGCGAATTGCTAAGTTTCTAAAGATATATTAATGATGGCAGACCATCAGGGTCTCATTTACTTTGCTGAGAAAAGGTTAATTGGAGAAAGATACTCTACTGATCAAAACCAATAATGAATTTAACAATATGTGCACTGATACTCTTCTCAGCCATTGGAACACTCATTATATGGAACCCCAGTAGTTTCTCCAGTTACTTTACCTGACTGGATCTGGATTTCCAAGGCTTTCAGTCTGTTGAACTCACAACTTTATTGAACTTGTATTGCAGTCTTTAAAATTCTGTTAACAGTTTGCCATTTATTTTATCCAAATCAAGAATAGGACACGATTCATCCATCGTCAACTTTTATTTGAAACTCTCTTTTTTAAAAAATAAGACTTCGAATCTCGTGCTGTGTTTTACTGCTATAAGTGTAATGCTTGTAGAAAGAAGCTTCCTGTTTTAATGGCATGTTTGTTTAATTTTCCTTTCAGGAATTTATCTCAACAAGCACTTCGCTCAGGAATTTCTAAATTCCCTCCATTTGGCAGCACTTTTATTTTTCCTGAAGCAATGATGAATTATTGGTATTATCGATTGTAGTTTTAATATACATTTCTCTATCTTTAAGATCTCTCTTCTAAAATATCCAAGGCTTTTAAAAGTTCAATCACATTATTTTTCACCTCTGACTGCCGAGTTCATTTTTTTATTTAAGCATAAAATGTTTCATGTTCATTTTCTTATTTAAATCTATTTGCGTGTGTGTGTATATATTTGTGTGTATATATTTGTATATATACACATACAGACACACATATACATTATATACATAGACACACTAATGAAGAAATTATTTATATATCTATAGAAGATCATAAGATTACTCTTTTTTTGAGAATAAGACTCAAAAAGATACTTTCTTGTTCATTTGTCTTAAACACATTCTAGTATCCTGGTTGGAACACATTGACTAAGTATTATGTATTTATTTGCTTTTAGTAGAAGTTGTTTGTTTAAAAATAACCTGGATACCACTTTGATTCTCATTTTAATTGTATTGTTCTTCAAATCTCATCCAAATTCTGGATTAGGACAAACTATAATAATCTAAAATTAAGAGAGTACTTGGTAAGCAAAGTAAATAGGCCGGCAATCGCCTCATTTGGAGGAAAAAACTGTTTGTTGTTTTAGTTTTGTTAATAAATGATCAAAAGAGTACTTTCTGAAACTAATGCTGTGTATTTTATTCCCTTCATAATGGACTATGTGATTTAGTTGACATACAAAAAGTTAAACATACAATTTAGATTTTCTTACACCACAGTAAAAATCAGTCCTGCTGCTCTCTTATCCCTGCAGAGGCTACTATTCAATATAAATTTAACATGTTTTAAATTTCAATTTGAGTAGGATGTCAGTTAATTGCTATATTATATGCCATAAAATGCACATTTAATTTACGTGTAGACAAAAATGTTGATATTTCTGAAACATAGTAAATATATGATGTCTTCGTGTGGACTTAAAGTATGAGAGGTGTTCCATTTATATATGATTTTTAATATCATTCATTTTCTTTTGACTGCATATGCAGTCATAATCAGCATTTAAATTACTGTCCTGGTGATAACATCATGCAAGTCTGTTCATTTTATCTTGTAAACTACAAGTACAACCAATTCTGACATTTGGGTGAGCTTCACTGATTTTCACTTTGATCTTCCGTTTTCAGACGATGTGAAATATTAAGGAAAAGCACCAAGCACAGCGCTAAAATAATTTTGCTTAAAGATTTTGCCTCAGTCCAGTCAGAGTTCTATAACAGTTCCACACAACCCTCTGTTTGAGGAAGAAAGAAGGAGAGAAATAATATATGTCATTAGTTATTTGAAAAACATTGTCTTAAATAGATGGAGTATCAAACACATATTTTAAAAGGCCAGGAATGTATCATAACTAATAAAAACTCCATTTTCTTCTTATTTTATGTGTAGTTTGCATTCAAATATCAATGAAGCGTTCCTGAAAAATATACAGGGCAATAACTTTTAGGCAATCATATCAGTGTGGCTTTTATAATGATGAGGAAATCAGAGTAATTCAATCAAAGCATCTTGTTATTTTTTCATGGCAATTAGAGATACATCATATAGTTTGAATTTCTCTGCCTAGCACAATACCTGGGAAATGGATGCATTCTACAAAGGTTAGTTTCAATGAGTCAATAAATTCTCTGCCATGGAAGAAGATATTAAAAGCAGATTTCTTTTAAATGCACTCTCATTGTGGAAGCGTTGGAGGCCTCTGAGCACAAATCTCCTCTTTAGAACACACACTGCTCCTTTACTATAAGTGGCTCTGCATTAATGACACACTTATTTTTCTTTTTGGTTAGGATACATAACCACGATTACTAATAAATCTTTCATTAGTTTACCCGCATTCCAGTTTTGGCATGTTTGCTGTTGCAGATCCCTGTAGTGACAGTAATAACTCTAATGGTAGTGAACAGTTCTGATATTTGTTTGTCACTTGTTTTGTCATTTGTTTTTCATATGTTTTGTTCACTTTTTACAAAGCACATTCATGTATAATTTTGAAAAATCATTTTTAGGTATGCACAGCAAATGTTAACATTCACATTGTAAAGTAATTCAAACGACATTACAATTCCACTTGACTGCTTCAACAATTCAAGGTACTTCTAAAAGGATAATCCTTTTATCAATTTTTGAGTGAATATTTGTATGCATTTGCATACATAATGAATATCTATAAAGATAGTTTTCATTATATATTGCTTATTTTTTTAAAGTCCTCTTATTGATTATCTAAGCAGTGTTAGCTTGTAGCTGTTTTTTGGATTGTTGGGTTCATGAATGCTCATATATATGTATGCATATATATGTGTATTTACTTATATATTTATAACAATTATTCTGCCTTGGTGATACTGAATTCATATTCTCTTAAACGGATGTATAATACTCTTTAGTACACAGTAACAGTTGTCCTTTTCAACCTCTCAATTGGATAATCTTACCCTTCTTTGGTAGCCACAGGAAGCAAGAGAGTGTCTTGGAGACAAGAAGATTCTGCCATGATCAACCACAACGATGCTAGGCTAATTTGAAAGCTGTGCTAGGGAGTGAATTTCCTGGTCTCCTAGACTAAATAAAATTCCTCACATCAGGAAATAGAATTGGTGAAAAAAAAAACCAATTCTGCTGATACTTTCTTTCTTCTGATTGGCAAATAGATCAGTGGGAGAAACGACAGGACTCCCATGTTTTAATTTTTTGAAATATAGCCTTGGAATTATTTGTTTAAAAGAAACTTCAAATCCTGTATACTTAGTTCCCTCCTTTTAACCTAAGATTTCAGTCAGAAAATACCTTGCAATGATTTGAAAAACCTTCAGTGTGACCTTAGAGTGTTACCTGATTCAAGCACCAATTAGTTTTATAAATTTGTTATTTTGTATTACATAATATGGAAAGCAGTTGTTTCCTGAGCTATGTGTTTGATAGCTGCATACCCTGTCATTGGTGATAAAAATACTACTAATTATTTGCCTTCCATGGGTATGAAAACAATATTCTTCTTCTATCCAAATTACATATAAAGCTGCGTGTTTACATAGAAATATATCAGTTGGTAATAAACTGACCCATTTTTTCATTTCTCTTAGATTTTCTGCCACAGTTTTGTTGAGGCATACCTGACATACAATAAACCGTACATATGTAAAGAGTTATAATTTGGTAAGTTTTGATGAAAGAATATACCTGTGAAAACCTTGCCACAATCAAGATAGTGAACATATGAAAAGGGAGCACAAATTCCGGGGGCAAGATATACAATTTGCAGTAACCAGTGCATAGCAAAAATGTGGGATCCCTGTGGGGTGCAGGGAAGTCAATCTCCTCTTCTTACGAGTTCATAGTCCCGTAATCCCATCTTGGTGGTCCGGACACCTCCAAGGAATGCGACGTCTATCCTGCAACATGCTCTATTCCTGGATCTAGATAGCTAAGAGATTCCATATGGTTCGCCTTTCAAATGTGCTGAGGTGCTGCCAACCAAAAGAGGGTGGTCTTCTCTTTACCCTTCCCTAAGACGCCTCTTGGCCACACCAGCCCTCCCTCTCCCCTCTCTGCCCATGCACCCAGGCTCCCACAGGAGCAGAGGGATGCAGCTGCACTGCATACAGCCTCCCTGCCCAAGCAACCTGGTCTCCACTCCTGACTAAAGGTGGCAGTGGTCCTGGGTAGGGTCCCAAGGTGCCAGAGTTCCGTGAGGGGGCAGCCAAGAACCAGTCCTGGTCGCAGTAGACAGTGGTATCAGGGGCTCCCTGTGAGCCAAGGCTCCAAAATCCTACCACATGTTCCGTTGTCACACATGTTCCGTTTTATGATTCCATTTATAAAACAAAAACTCAAAGATAAAATAAGAATTTCAAGAGGGTTACAGCATCGCATTAAACTCCAAGCACAGGGCAGATCTGAACATGGGCTCTGTGCATCCATAATGGTTGTAGTTCCATGAAGCCAACTCTGCATTTCCCTTTGGAATCCCTTCTTGTAGCTTGTCGGCCTTTTGGCTAAGATGAAGTGTAATCCCTTCTTTCCCCCTCTTCCCAGCAATTGTCTGTTTCTCTATTGACAGTGAATTGCATTTTCTAGAATTTCATAGGCATTGATTTTATAGGACATATTCTTTTAGGTTTGATTTCTTCCACACAGCATAATTATTTTGAGTTTCATCCATGATGTCATACTTATCAATAGTTTATTCTTTATTACTGCTGAGCAATGTTCTATTGGATTTATATACCTGACCTGTTGATGAGCATTCATTGTTTGTTTTCCAAGTTATTAGCTATTACTAGAAAAACTGCAATGACTATGGGTACACAAATCTTTTTACCAACATATATATATATATATTTTTTTTTTTTTTTTTGAGGATACCTAGAAGAATGATTGGATCATATGTGATAAATTTGCCAAAATTTTTTAAAAATTACCAAACTGATTTTCAATGTGATTGTATCATTTTATATTCCTACCAGGAGTGTATAAGAATTCCAGTTCCTACATTTCCTTCATGGTGATTTAATATGGCCAAACTTTTAAATCTTAGCCATTATAATAAATGGGTTAGCATATATTATCTTATAAATTTGCATTTCCCTAAACACTAATGATGTTCAGCTTATTTACAAATCTGTGCTCTATTTTTGATATATTCATCTTGTGTCTGTTTTATTTTCTCATCCTCATATTTATTAGATAGCTTGTTTAATTATTGCATTTTAAGAATTCATTATGTATTATGGATATAATTCCATTTTCTCCACTCTGTGGTTTGTGTTTTCCTTCTTTGAAGAGTGTATTATGGAGAGCAGACATTTTAAATTTTGCTGAAATTTAATCTTTTTTCTTCTTTTATGAATTGTGTTTTTGATGTTCAAACTAAGCTACTTTCTTTAACCAATAGCTGTAAATATTTTCTTTTAGCATTTTTACAGGTTTAGGCTTTACATTTAAGTAAATAACTGATTCATTTTTAGTTAATTATTATATAATATTTGAGATAGGAATCAAAAGTGCATTGTTTATACATATCTCCAACTTTCCTGGTACCATTTATTAAAAATATCTTTTCTCCTCTGAATTCTCCTTGCATTTTGATGTAAAATCAGTTTACATATACATGATTTGGTCTATTTCTGGCCTATTAGGTTCTATTGATTTACTAGTGCATATTCATGACACTACCACACTATCTTGATTGTTGTAGTCTTGTATCACACAGTGCTACTCTTCCAATGTTGTTCTTCTTTTTCAATGTTTTAACCATTGTATGTCTTGCATTTCCAAATGAATTTTAGAATCAGCTAGCTAATTATATTAGAAAAGCCTGGTAAAAATTATATTAGATTTTGTTGAAGCTATATATCAATTTGAGATATATATCAGTATATCAATGTATCAATTCTACATCTTAACAATATGAAGACTTTAAACACATGAATAAGGTATACATATTTTTTAAATGTTTCATTTCTCTCAGCGCTCTTCCTGGTTTTCAGTGTGTATCTTTGGTTGTATTGGATTCATGGATCTTTTGTTGGACCGATCCCTTTGAAGGTGTGTTTTATACTATTTTAAATTGGTTAGGTGTTTTCGTTTGGATTTCTGATTGTTTGTTAGTATACAGAATTTCAATAGATTGTACTGTATTTATTTTAGAACCTGCAATATCTAAACTTATTTATTTTAGAAGCTGCTTTTGTTTATTTGCTTTCATTTGTTTTTTGTAAACTCCATAGAATGTTTTTGAAAAAAGAATAAATTCATATGAGAATTAAATTCTAATTTTTCCTCTCTAACCTGGATGCCTCTTATATTATTATTGACTAATTGCATGACTAGAACTTCCAGTTCAATACTGACTAGAAGTGGTGAGACCTCACATCTCCACTGTTGTCCTGATATGTGGAAGAAAGTATTCAGTGTTTCACTATTAAATATAATGTTTTTTGTCAGGGTTTCATAGATGCCCTTGATCAGTTTGAGATATTTTCTATTTCTACTTTGCTTAAAGTTTCTATCAGAAATGAAATTTGTATTTTTCCAAATGCTTTCTATATGTCTATAAGAAATGATCAGTAGTTGTTTCTTCCTTAATCTGTTAATGGAGTGAATTACATTGATTGATGCTTATATATTAAAACAGTCTTAAATTGCTGACTTAACTGTTCATGGTCATTCTTCATTATCCTTTTAACATATTATTGGATATGATTTGCTAATATTTTGTTAGAATTCTTA